TTATAGCCTCATGAAATCAACCGTAAGATAATAATAATCATACTGATATTAAAGCAAATAGACCTCTAGTGTTGGAATAGTATCGGCATCAGTAGGTATCTAAATTCAGGTACGGAAATCGAATCGGAAGTGAAAACTGGATCGGTGCATCCCTACTTGCCGAGTATTTCTGTTGGCGATGTGGAAAGATTTGTTGAGAAACAAACCTTCACTAAAGGAACTGAAATGAAAAAAAAAAGGATAACATTTTTTTCAAAAGCAGTTTATTGAAAAATACCAAGGTAAGTGGAGGGCTATCACGTTAGCCAAACTAGCTTAGACTGAATTGTGATTTATAGTTATGAAGCATTAGCATTGTTATTTAGTATTAAAACATAAATATTTTAGATATCGTATGACAGACACAGCCTAACTCAACCATTTAGTGTAGTCTACTGGCAGCATTGTAGCATCAGTTCGTTCTGTTTGATGGTTGCATGGCTTTCATTTAGCTAAATACTGTCGTCAGTTAGCCTAGCAGTTTTGTCTTGTATTGTGTGCTCTGTACACATGTTTGTCTTCGTAGTATCAGATATATTAGATGGCCACATGTTTGTGAGAGCTAAGAACCGCTCACAAAGGAAAACCAGGAGCCCCACAAAGTAGAGGTTTGAGCTAAGACACCACAAGTTCCATGTTCTCCTTGCTACCGAGCACTTTGTGTTTCTACATTTATTTTCTAGCAACGTTGCTTTTTCCATTATTTTTTGCACAGATATCAGTAGCTGTTGACAGTGGGCGTCTGGTGGCGTTTTCCTGTAGCTGTGTGGCAGGAAAAGGGGGTTTGCAACCATGTTGGGGCCCTACTACTTCAAACAGCCCACTACTCACAGTTTGGAATGAAGGCGGTCCCTCCAGCTCGGGCCTGCACATCAAACCTACAACAGTGGCCCAGACCAAGAACTCAAGTTATTTAAAATTAATTTATTGTTCATTCATTTGATCTTTTTGGAATAACACTGCAGCATTAGTTAATACATATTTTATTGTGCTTTAGGGAATACTCATCTAGACAATAATACTGAATTTGTTTAATAACTCACAGAAAATTGCAATAATTAAGCCTGATTTATGCTTCTCCGTCTGCGTCAGTGCGGAGACACGCAACGCCATTATGCGTCCTTGCGTAGGGCTCCGGCAGGCACGCAAGTACGTACGGAGTCGAGCCCACTTTTTTAAACATCCGTCGAACGAGACGGATTACGCAAGCTTGTGATTGGTCAGGACGCCGCTGTTGTTTACAGCGCCGCCATTGCAACGAGAGCCGAGGATAACTAGCGGCAGACACTGAGAAGCTTGAAGAACACCTCGCGAAAAAAACTCTAAAAATATGAACGTTTCATTCTCCCGTGACTGGAGGAGTGAAAAGATGTGCAGCAAGCGTTTTATTTGTGGACGGAAATGACAGGAAACGTGGGTTTAGAGGTGGGGAGCGCACGAAGAGGTGGAGGAGGATGAGAGACAAATATGTCCGTGTTAAAAGTCTCTTATATACACAAGAAACACAATATAAACACACGATACCACAGAACAGCGCTACGCCCTCTGTTGTCCTGGCGCGGAATTGCTTTGCAACACTCTCCAGGAGACGGAGAAGTATGAGAGCAAAACGCTTCCGTCAATCCGTGCGTGTCTGTCCCTTGCGGAGCTGACGGAGAAGCATGAACCAGGCATTAGGCTGGCTCAGATGTAGCAAGATATTGTGCAACACAAGTGTGACTATTAGTGCAACAGGTCAACAATTATTGTAGAGGAGTTAACATTTTATCTTTGATTTTACAGAATTCTCCGTGAATCCGTGAGTGGTGTGATGCAAAAGCCAACAACAGCTGGCAAAAGTGGTCTTCGATCAACATTGTGCCAGGCAAACCATCTAACCCTGTTCTACTAATGATACGGCTAACAGTAAAAGGAAATGTGTGTGTGTGTGCGTGCATATTGGTGTGCACAGTCTAACGTTTAGTAAGTGGTTACCTTTCACAAATTGTCAATAGAATATAAAGGTATTCAATAAAATGTAATATTCAATGAAAATATGGATGATCAATATTATTGAACCTTTATTATTAGATTGCTGATTAAACTTTGGTTAATTCAGGGAAACAACACTTTATAATAATCTGACACAAAAACAAAAATATAGTTTATAAAAATCTATTTATGACTATATTAATGATGACGAAAGGCTAATGATTACAAATGGTGACACAGTGATGTTAAATGAGACCATGAATGAACTGTGATGAAACATGACCTGGTGTGTTTAAGAGTTTTCTAAGTGACTCAGAAAGGTGATGTCTGGTTTATTAAATACATCTGGCTGTTTGTTGGATGTAATTTAACAAGTTATCAGATTAATACCAACCACTCTGACACCTCCATATGCTGCTAACATTATTGCACTGTAAAACCTGGTTGGTTCTCTATTAGATGGTCATGCAGCATGAGCTCTGAGCTTGTCTGTAACTTGGAGCTCTGGAGGAACTGGGGAAAATAGGAAGTGAGGTCACTTTTAAGAAGTGTTGTTTTATAGATGTAACACCAACAAATATACCAGAAAGTAACCTTTCATTTGCAGACATAAACCCACCATCTGTCTGGCCTCCAAATCCAGAACGTTCTGCCCAGTTCTGGTTTCTGTACCAGAAGACAAAAAAATCTCACCCTGGCCTGATGCAGAAGCCAGACAGCTGCAACCTCACTAGGAATAAAAGCTAACCTCCTCGAAGTTCCTACGTGCCTTTACAGCTTATAAGTTTAAATAATCGGGGCGACGGTGGCACAGGAGTTAAGCGCTCGCCCCGTAATCGGAAGGTTGCAGGTTCGAGCCCCGCTCAGTCTGTCGCTGTCGTTGTGTCCTTGGGCAAGACACTTAACCCACGTTGCCTGCTGGTGGTGGTCGGAGGGACCGGTGGCGCCTGTGCTCGGCAGCCTCGCCTCTGTCAGTGCGCCCCAGGGCAGCTGTGGCTACATCGTAGCTCATCCCCACCAGTGTGTGAATGTGTGTGTGAATGGGTGAATGACTGGTTGTGTTGTAAAGCGCCTTGGGGGGTTCCAGGACTCTAGAAGGCGCTATATCAAATATAGACCATTTATAATCATTAAATGAACAAGATGTTTAAATCAAATGTTTGAATAACCTGTGCTTCAATGATGGCTTAAAAATGAATATTGCTCTTACAATGATCCATTTTAGATCTTCTCTACACCAAATCAGTATGTGTTTCATTTAACAAGTTAATCAATATTTACATTCATACACATTATAATAAGATACGTATGAATCATCGACATATATACTGGACATTTCGTTTCCATAGGCTCCAATTATAAGTTTTTGTGATAAAATGGGAGGTGGCCACCACCGCCATTTTGACCGTGTCACAGGTTCCGTCAAGCCCAGACAATTCCATAAAAGGGAAAAGAGGTGGAGCTGAGGGTGGGGCTGTAAGGCTGGGATCAAATGACGACACCCGTCGAACTGAAGCGATGTAGCTACAAGCTAACCCAAAGCTAACGCGGAGGTGGGAGTTAAGCTAACGGCTGTAGCTACCTAGCTACAACCGTTAGGACAACCTAAAACATGTTTTGGAACCAGGCTGTAAACATGTTTATTTCTGCTGTGAAATTTGTATTTTTAACATGGGAGTCAATGAGGATTTGACACCAGCTCCTAGTGGATGAGGCTGGAACTGCATTTTTTGTCACTTCTGAGTTGGCTTCAGTTTCATACCAGTAATATGAGGGCTTGGTATTAATGTTAATATTCACCTCACATAACGTTCTCTCACAAAGAGTCTTTGTATCTGAAGGAAGGCTGGACGTCTGACACGTCTGAGGGATGTTTTGAAATCATCACATTATAAAAAGTCATTTATGATTACGGGAAGATTAACTTTATTCAGAGTGAGAGTGCAGACCGTCTCGACTCCTGCATGAGACCTTGTCTTCCAGCACTCAATATGGCTAACTGGTTTAGTTGCAACATTTTAGATCCTCGCTTTCCTTGTTTGGAGGCCAGATAGATGTGATGTGACCCTGGATGTGTGATGCAGTTTGTCTGGAAATTAAAAGTAAACTTCTGGTCATTTTTTATCTAAATACATGACCTTTGGGTATGCTACACCAGTCCAGTGTGGCTGTCATGTAAAAGCTGCAAACATGAACACATGCATGCAGAACCGAGAGCGAGAGTGTCCAAAAGAACCACAGTGAGACCTACTGGACAATCCAAGTAACTGCAACAACGGTAAGCAGTGTGGACAAACATAACACTGTTATTTACAATGGGCCATGAAGTTAATTTGAGGATGCAATGCCCCCTCTTCCCCAACGTAGAGCCTCGCCTGAACCACATCAACAGGACATGGGTGGAACAAGCGATGTAAAAGTGTAGAAACACAATCTAGCCTCTTATTTTAGCGTTGACCTTGGTTGAATGTTGATGTATGGCATCCGGACAGGTGAGGATGATGAGCTAAAGTAACACCTGGATAGAACGTAGCACTTTCTGTTGTCACCCACAGCCTGGACAATAAAGTAACAACACTCACCTTTCAGTTGTTTCACAACTGAAACACAGTTCTGCGTCTACCTGGCAGGAATCCAGCTGCATCTGGATTTCAGCCCAGTGCATGCTCCTGACTCTGGGACACTTACATCTGTACGAGTTTCGCCTCCCCTATGTCACTGTGCCACAGGGTACATAACTCATCATCATCAACGGTGTGTGAATGTGTGAGTGAATGGAAGGTTCACTGTAGTGTAAAGCACTTTGCAGTCAGAAGAGCGTTGTACAGGTACAGGTCACTTATCATGTAAATGTTGTGTTCAATCTTCTAACTAGTGTGCTTCATCGTTCAGGAGTCATGCTTGATGGTTAAACCAGCTCTAAAAACACTAAATCCAGAGAGAATACAGTGAAGCCTGCAGTGCTGACACATTTCCCGTCCTTTCCCTAGACATGGTGGCAGTTGGCTGTGACCTCAATGGGGCCCACTATGAAAACGGAGAAGCCTTCCAGCCCAGCCCGCTTTATAAGTGCACCTGTATTGCCGGGGCTATCGGTTGTACACCTGCTTTCATCCAGAAGCCAGCAGGTCTTTCTAGTTCTGACCTGATGTTGGACAACAAGCCGGCTGGTCTTCGCAGTGGTCAGAGCCCAAAGAACAAACAAGATACCACCTACATGTCAGGTGCGTCATTCTGAACACTAGTTACCTGTAGGCAGGTAAAAGGTTGCATTGAGTTGTGATCACAAAGTCTCAACATGTCAGAGGGCCTGATCAGTGCTCTTTGTTGGATAGTGTTGACACAATACTCATTTCATACTTAAAGCATACAGGAAGCCTCGCTGGGACCGGAAGAACAACTGCTTGGTCCAGACTACACCCTGGAGCCCCTGCTCGAAGTCCTGTGGCCTGGGCATCTCGACTCGAGTGGAAAACAACAACAGTAAATGTGAGATGAGGAAGGACCGCCGCCTTTGCCTGCTGCGACCGTGTGACCAGAGCCTGCTCATGGGTGTGAAGGTAATTGCCAGCTAAGTGTGTGTACTTGTGTGTCCTGAATCCACCAATCAGTGCTCTCTCACATCACTTAGATAACAGTGGGAAAAACGTGCCAACCAAAAGTCCAAGCCAAAAAGGCGGAGAAGCTGATTCTCTCTAGCTGCACCAGCACCAAGAAGTTCCGACCCACCTACTGTGGTGTTTGCACAGATCAGCGCTGCTGCGTCCCCAACAAGTCCAGAGTGATCAAGGTCAACTTCACCTGCAAGGGGGGGTCAAGCACACAGTGGAAGATGCAATGGATTACATCATGTGTGTGCCAGAGGAAGTGCAGTGATCCAGGTGACATGTTCTCCGACCTGTGGCTGCTGTAAGCAACGGAGATGCAGAAACTCACAAACGTATGTCTCACGTCTACAACGACACCAGACATATCTGTCCTATCATAGTGAGGACCATCCATTGACTTCCCTTCATGTTTGTGACTACATTATGTCTCACCTATACCATAACCCTTCCCCTAATGCACACCATACCTTTAAATCCAACTGGTAGACATCTAAATGGTGAGCACCAAAGTGTGCTTTGAAAAGCGACCTCATTTGGTTGGTTAAAGCTCAGTGGGTAGTGTGTGGAAGAAAACACACAGTCTGGTCTAACACTCATCCTACACGATGTTCATATGAAACCAAAACGTATTTGCATGTTTGTCCTTTCTATGAAGTCATTGTTAGTTTGTTGTTATTTTGGTTGTTTCAGCCTCAAACGTGTCGGTTCTGAACAACTTGGATCTAGTCATCAGGTTACAGAGAACACTGACTTATGGTTTCACTTGTTACTCAAGAGTTCTCCTTCCAGTCGGCTTTCTACAGTTCTCAGGGTTTTAGTGTTTGCATGTCCTTAGCAAATGTGTGTGTGTGTGTGTGAATCCATCATTCATTCATACAAAGGTGTGTGTACTCTCTAGAATCCCTTGATAGTCTGGAGACTTGATTGTACCCTGCACAGATCCAAGACACCCTGTTCCAGGTGCAGCAAAGCAGCCCCAGACCATGACAGAGCCTCCTCCATGTTTCACAGTTGGGACGGTGTTCTTATCTTGACATGCTTCATTTTGCCGTCTGTGAACACAGAGCTGATGTGCCTTGGCTGAAAGGTCCAGAGGACATTCTCCCAAAAGTGTTGTGGCTTTGAAGCTTTGTGGTCTGGCTTTTTTGTCATTTGTTTTCAACAATGACGTCCTCCTTGGTGTTCTCCAGTGTAGTCCACTTTGGTTTAAACGTTGATGGATGGTGAGATCTGACACTGATGTTCCTTGAGCTTGAAGTTCACCATGGATCTCTGTAAGTTTTTCTGGGCTCTTTTGTTACCATTCAGATTTTTCGTCTCTTTAATTTGTCATCAGTTTTCCTCCTGCAGCCACGTCCAGAGAGAGGCTACAGTCCCATGGATCTGGTATCTCTGAATATGTACAGCTGTAGTCAGAGGAACATCTAGCTGCTTGGAGATACTACCCGGAGCCCTATATTTATATATAGTGTGTGTGTGTGTATATATATATATATACTGGTATCTCCAACCTTGTAATCAGCCAGAGGGCCTAAATATATATATATATATATATATATATATATATATATATATATATATATATATATATATATATACACATCTATATATATATATATATATATATAGATGTGTATGTATATATATATATATATACATACACATCTATATATATATATATATATATATATATATATATATATATATATATACATACACATCTATATATATATATATATATATATAGATGTGTATGTATATATATATATATAGATGTGTATATATATATATATATATATATACACACATCTATATATATATATATATATTTAGGCCCTCTGGCTGATTACAAGGTTGGAGACACCTGTGATGCTAAGTAATGGACACACCTTGAATTAACACGTTCCTTCTGTTAAACATTGATGTTCAGCCATGCTTCGACTGTCATCGGTTAAATTTTATGGGATTTTTATTAATACTTTAGTCCGATTCAAGGTATTTCTGTGACCATTGTGTGTTTTCACTGACTGAAGGGAACCAACTATTTTGTCCACATCTGTTAAAAGGGCATTAAATAATGACTGATTCTTGTTTGTTTTTCTTTATTTTGTGGAAGTAGAAATACTTTTCATCAAGTCAAAAAAACTACAAAGAAAGAAGGATAATTTGCACCAAAGCCTTTAACTGTCAGAGGTTTAATGCTACGAGCTACTTCCTGTGGCAATCCTGAGTCTGGGAGTATCACGCTGCAGTCTACTCTTAGAGACATCCAGATGGTGATAGTCTTCGATCAGTCCAGTGAGAGAGGAAAGGGCCTCTGAGAAGATGCTCTGCTCCATCCCATCCACATGCAGGTAGTGATGTAAGTGAGCCTGAAATAGCAAAAGCGTCAGTTTAGCTGGTGTTCACGAACACACTGTCAGCTTCTGAGGCAAGCTGCAACTACCAGAACAAAGACCAACCTAAAGCTGTTCATCTACTCTAGTAGTTTTATATGAAGCACTGGCCAGACCACACGTGAAAACAAAACACTCCAGCATACAGAAACATGTACAGCACAAACCCCACATGAGGACCTGGAGGAGGTTCAGGTAGAACATCACCTTCTTCTTGTAGAGCTTGGTAAAACTGTCCCTCAACTCCATGAACGTGGCCTTCACACAGGTGTTGTTGCTCAGAGCTAACATTGAGTGGGAGTGGCCTACAGGTGGTACAGAACACAGTCCAGTCTTCCAGCCTTCCTGATTCCATGAGACAAATGGGAGCGAGGATCTCAACCTGAGGACGAGAGCACATTTGTCCTCTGACACACATGAGTTGACTCCCATGCAACACATTAGAAGAGCAGCAAAGGAGCCAGATGGTTGTGAATGAAGCGGTCGTGAATCGCTGCTGCTGAAGGAGGTATCGTGGGTAAATGGGTGTGTGTGTGTGTGTGTGTGTGTGAGCTGTATTCTGACCTCTCGATGTTTCTGCGAAGATCAGACATGTGCACGTCGCCCCGGACCATGAGCGCAGATGCTAAGAAGAGACTGTGTTTTAGATTGGCTCGGATTAGCTGGTGGTCTTTACTGAAGGCGTCGCTAAACATCTGATCCAGCCTACATGCACAAGAGAAGCAGAGGAAAGAAGAAGAAGAAGAAAATATCATTTCTCTAGCGCCTCTCAAGATAAAAATCATGAGGCGCTTCACAAAAACAAAAGAGGCCGTTCACATGATGGGAGGATCATAGTTCCCGAAATGTGTATCATATTTATCTTATAACTTTTAGCTTAGAAAATAATATTTACTAATAAAGAGCAGCTAAGTGTCAGAGTTGATCAAACTACAGTGGACAGCTGGGCCCCGGTGCAAACCAAACTGTAACGTGATGCAAGTGTTTACTTTTAACGAATGATCAATAAGATGTGATATTCCATATAAATATGAATGATCAATATTGTTGATCTGTTATTTGATTGATGATGAAACCAGGTCATTACGGTGAGACCAGGGATTCAGAACACTTCACAATAATTTGAGTCAGAGGCAAAAGTAGTTTATAAAATGAATGTAATACTATATTTGTACTACTGATGACGACACAGAACACACGATGATGAATGATGGTTGAAACAAGATGACTGAGACAATGAATGGGATGATGGATATGAGCTTAGATGTTGTGTAGCAGAACCTGATTAAGTATCTTAGAAAACTGATGTCTGGGTTTTAAAATCAGTCCGACTGTCTGGTTTAACAAGCTATCAGTAAATAAAACCATCCCACACCAGTGTGCACAATCTAGCAACCCCTGTGGTGAAGGCTCCCGGTGCTCCAGGGGCATGGACAGGCTGCTGATGGAGTTGACTCCTGTGGTATTTGGAGCTTGTTGTTCCACCTACTAAGGATAGATTGATTATATCTAGAATGGGGGCAGTAACCGAAGGAAATGCATCTTTAAATAATTTGGTTGGGACTGGATCCAAAATGCAAGTTGAAGGTTTAGATGAAGCTAATATTTTTGATAACTCTGAAAGCTCAACTGGATCAAAACGGTTCAAGCACAGATGAGGTTCTACAGTCACCTCTGATGCTGCCTCACTTACTGAGGAAGAAGAAATCACATTAGGGAGGATGCTAAAGATTTTGTTTCTAATAGAATTAATTTTACTTGTAAAAATCCCATGAAGTCATTGCTGCTGAGGGCTAAGGGAATAGATGGCTCAGAGCTGTGATTCTGAGTAAGTTTAGCAACTGTACTGAAAAGAAATGTAGGATTATTCTTATTCTCCTCAATTAACGCTGAGGAATAATCAGTTCTAGTTTGTCGATGTCATGTTCTGTGTCCGTCTGTCCCCAGCCTCCTCCTGTTCTCCAGGTTCTCCTCTTATGTCCCATTATTATTCCCAGCTCCCACTAGGCTTCCCTCTAGTTATTAGTTGTTTATATTTGCCCTTAGTCTCTAGGTTTAGTTATTCCGTGTTTTATAGGATAATGTTTACCTTCCCTCCTGCTTAGTTCTTTCTCCCATTTAGTTTATTTAATGCGCCTGCCTTCCCTCCAGATCTCACCCCTCACACCTGTCACCTGTTCCTCTGATCACCTCCCTCTGTGTTTAAAAGCCCGTCTTGTCCCTCAGTGTTTGTCGGTCCATCGTTGTGAGTCAGCGTTGTTTTGTTCCCTCGTCAGGTTCTAGTCTTTGTGCTCATAACTGAGCTTTTGTTTTTTGGCTTCCTGATTTTCAGTTTTCTGGATTACTCTTGCATCTCTAAGTGATTTTGTGTTTCCACCTTAATAAAAGGATTTTACCTACTTTTCAACTGCTCTTGCCTCGAGTCATTCTGGGCTTCTGCATTTTGGGTCCTACCTCCTCCTGCTAAGCGAGACAGTCGAAGCTTATTTTTATAAAGCACAAGACTATTTTTCCAGGATAGGTAGGCCTCCTCGTGGTGCGTAGAGCGCCATGTTCTCTCCAATTTCCTAGAGTTTTGTTTTAAGGCTCGTAAATGAGAATTAAACCAGGGAGCCAACTTCCTGTCCCTAATTACCTTCTTTTTTAAAGGGGCAACATCATCTAATGCCACACGTAAAGAGGAATTCACATGATGAACTAAGGCATCAATTTGTGAGGGGCTAGAACTGAAAATATTGCCCTCTGCTACGTTCCTCTGAGATGCTGAGGACAGTAAAGATGGAACAGTTGATTTAAAAGATGTAACTGTGTTGTCAGATAGAGACCGACTATAGTGAAATTTACTTTCATGTCTCGAGAACTCAGTTATAAAAAACTCAAAGGTTATCAGAAAGTGGTCAGAGAGGACTGGATTATGTGGGAAGATCGTTATTTCCTCACACTCTATGCCATAAGTCAGCAAGGTGACACAGCATCGCCCACCATGACACAAAACCTCCTACCCAAGAGATATGACGGCAGTCACTCAATAGCCGACCCTGTGATCCTGACCCTTCGCTCCAGGCGATCCAGCAGAATGTCAGGGTCGACTGTGTCAAAGACTGCTGTTAAGTCCAATCACAACAGCACCCTAGCTTCACTCTGATCTATAGCTACAAAGATATCATTTAACACCATCAACAGTGCAGACTCTGTGCTATATCCAGCCCTAAATCGAAACTGTAACATCTCAAACATCTCCGAAACGTCTAAAAGACACCAACTGCTGATAGACGACCTTTTTCAGCAATTTAGAGTTTTAAGGAAGTTTAGAGATGGGCGTATAATTTTACAAAACAGACATATCAGAGCCTGACTTTTTCATTATCGGCTGTATCGCTGCATCTTTCACAGAAATCGGAACTGAACATGAACGCAGGCTGCCATTTATAATGTTAGTATAAATTGGCCAGTGAGGAGAAAGCCTCCTTATAGACACGAGGCAGCAGGACGTAGCTTTTGATAGGAGACTAGCCTTCCCAACTTAGTTAGAGCCTGGGTCAAAAGAGGCCAATGTGGCATGAGGTGACAATCTCAGAAACAGCGGCAGACAAATGCCTCTTCTGGAGCACCGCTAAGTAAGGAGGGGCGTCTACCTGAAAGAAATTAAACACAAAAACCAGGAGTTTAATACGTGCCCAATAAAAAACAGGAAGACGGTGTAGGGAGGCCAGCACAGGACTGATGTGATCCCACTTCCTGGCCTCAGTCAGAAACCTGGCGGTGCTGTTCTGAAGACGACACAGTGATGACTGACCAAGCCCAGCATAGAGGGAACTGCAATAATCTGATCTAGAGATTACAAATGCATGGAGTACCCGCTCTAGGTAGACTCTCGACAGCATACGTTTGATTTTGGATAGGCGTCGCTGACAGAAAAAACTGGATCGGATCACGAAGTTGATGGGAGCATCAAATTTAAGTCCAGAGTCAATTCTCACCCCCAAGCTAGTGACAACTGGCTTCAGAAAGGGAGAGATAGCCCAGACCAACTTCGGATTCTGCGCACTGCTTGCTATTGGGATGAAAAATAATGAGCTCTGTTTGACCTCATTAGCATGCAGCTAGTTTGCTGCAAACCAAGACAACCTCTTAAGACACTAGAGACATCAAAGAGAGACCGTTCCCCTGATGAAACGAGGTGTAAATCTGACAATCATCAACTTAACTAATACACCTCGACTTTGTTGATAGGTGCTCCAAATAAAATGTATTATTATTATTATTTGCTGCAAACTGATGGCGTTTTATGAAAGAGGCTTTTCTGTCCAAAGGGAGTTTTCCTTTCCATCGCTGCCCTCTGCTTCTCAGAATGGGGCAATTAAATGGTTATCTCTGTAGTTATGCTGCTATAGGCTTAGACTGCTGGAGGACACACTGACCACTTTTCACACTCTACTGCTTTCTTCTACAATCTGCTCTTTAACTGTATTATTTCCTGCTATTTCAGCTGTTAACTTTATTTTCTCTCTAAGTGTTTTTCTCCCCAGAAGAAGCTACAATGATGTTCTGCTGAGCTGTGGTGGCCTCATGGAGGGGGCCATCGTCTAGCACACTGCTGCTAACCACTTAAACATTCTCCCTCTCCTGATAATAACTTTTTGCTTTCCTTGACGTTGAATGTGCTACTACTAGTTTACCCGTTTAATTATAGATTCACGAGGATAAATACAATAATCTCTCACCAAACAGAATATTTACTAAGAAATCACAATATAACCATAGACACATTGCTTGGTGTGTGTGTGTGTGTGTGTGTGTGTGTGTGTGTGTGCGTGTGTGCTCTGTCTTCTCCATCCCCAGTGAGTCGTGGAGGATGGCTGCTTATACTGAGCCAGGATTCTCTGGAGGTTTCTTCCTGTTAAAAGGGAGTTTTCCTCTCCACTGTCGCTGCATGCTTGCTTGGTATGAGGATTGCTGTAAAGACTCTGACACGAGTCAGTGACTCGATGCGACCTGCTGGGTTCCTTATATAGGATTTTTTTTTCTGATTGGCTTAATGAACCGACCTGTATTGGAATGTTTATTATGTGAAGTGCTTTGAGACGACTCTGGTCCTGATTTGTTGTTATGTAAATAAACTGAATTGAATTGAAAAACTAGAATTGAAGTGACGCTTTAATTTAATCTGCCAGTTCTCTTATTGGAGAAGAGTGTAAATGATTGGCATTTCATAATTACTTAAATTTTATTACAACTTATTGCAATCAGTTAGTCTCAGAGCCTTGTCCAAGAACACCTTGGCATGTGGTGGGGAGGCTGAGATCCAACCAACAGCCTTTTGATTGGCCCGTTCCAGCATGACAAGTAAAATACGTTACAGTGACAGAAAGATGCAAACCTTTTAGTGGGGATGCTGACATCTGCCAAAGAGTACAGAGGGGTGAGGCTGGGCACCAGGTAGTGCAAACGAGGAAATGGAACCAGGTTCATTGCAATCTCATTCAGATCCATGTTAAGAGAACCCTCAAAACGTGTAGAGCTGCAAAAAAGGAAACAAACATAAAGGACCAAAAAAAAGCTTGGAGAAATAAAACAGAGAGGTTGAAGCAAAACTTTTCCCCCATGAGGGACTCTTCTTCACTCCCTTTCCTGAAGGGAACATATTCTGCAAAAATCATCTTTTTCATTCTTTTGTGCTTCCAGTTGGATCTCTACTGCCACTATAAACACTCCAAACATGACAATACATTCTACCATGTGTGGTTCTAGGAACCACGGGCGTCTAGAGCCATTTTTCCAACAGCACTACTCAGCCTTTAACAGCTCGGTACGTGAGTAAAGAACCCAACAAGAATTCAGATTCAGATTACTTTAATGGCCACACAGCAAGCCGGTGGAACATTTTTCCAGTACATGGTTTGAACAGAGCGTGGTTCCGTTAATACATACACTTAGACACATTGAGACACATAACACACAATACTGTAGAAGATCAGACAAGCTTAGCGACCCTCGTCATTTAGAAATCGTATGGCAGTGGGAATAAAACTGTTCGTAAACCAAGTTGTTCTTGAAGCAATTGACCTATATCGTCTACCAGAGGGCCGCAGCTGGAAAGCAGGACGTGCAGGATGAGAGGTGTCAGAGAGAATGCTGCAACACACTGTAGTGTCTAGTGGTGAAGGAGATCCAAGTAGGGGAGAGGCGTTCCAGTGAGTTCGGATGCTGTGGTGATGATTGGTTCTAATTTTTTCCTGGAGAGCTTGTCCAGTGCGCTGTACCATACAGTAATGGATGAGGTAAGAATGCTTTCAACAATAGCCGTGTAGAACAGGCGTAAATGATGACGACGTACTTTAAACTGCTTCAACTGCCTGAGATGGAAAAGCCGTTGTAGAGCTTTCTTGTGGATTTGTTCTGTATTCATTTTCCATTGAAGATAGTTGCAGATGTTTATTCCAAGAAATTTAAATGTATCAAAAGTTAGTTTCTGGTCATTTGTGATGTAAATACTTGGCCTTTGGGTACGCTACAGCACCAAGACTGAACCACACCAACCCTAGTCACGCTTAGTAGTGCTTTTGGAAAAGGAGCCGTTTCAAAAAGTTCCCATTTATGACATCACATGAAACAAATTAGCACACAGGAGCAGCAGCAGTTCTCCTCCAATCCCCGCTAGATGACCCAAGGTCCTTGCCTCATAGCAGCTGCAGCGTGGCTCAAGGCCTGTATTTAATCAAATGGCCGAACGTGAACTTTCTTTAACATACAGGTGGTGCCAGCCTGACACCAGGAGGTCGATTATGAATGTGTTTATGAAAGTTCATTCCTATAATGACTTCTTTCAGATATTATTTACACCTGATTCATCTGTTTGGTGGAATTTAATAATGATTTGTTGATGAGTGCATTCACACATTAATAATATGATTATGAATGTTTAACATTTTTACTCCACATTAGGTGAAATAACCTCTCTTAAGTGTTTGAGAAAGGAGTGGTGTCTGATGTCTTCGATAACCGCCCACTTGTCAAATTCAGATTTGGCCAAAATAATAAACAACAGTTTATAAAAGAAAATTTACTTACTGGAATCTTTGAGTTCTAGCAAGCTGTCCAGTTCAACTGATTGGGTCAGTAAAGCCTAGGGAACCATCCTTCAAGGTCAAACCTTCTTTGCAAAACTGCAACGCTGAATCAGATGCAAAACTTCATCTGACCGCCAGCATTCCCCGTGAGGGTATCCCAGACCAGCATTGTTTGAGGTGGAACTACAAGCTTCGAATACCACAGAAGTCAACTCCATCAGCAGCCTGTCCGTACAGGCCTCCGGCCCCTGGATCACCGGGATCCTTCACCACAAGGGTTCATAGATTCTGTACACTGGTGTGGGATGGTTTTATTAATTGACAGCTTGTTAAACCAAACAGCCAGACTGTTTTCTGACATTTAATCAGGTTTTGCTACATAACATCTAAGCTTACTTTCCATCATTTCATTTATTGTCTCAGTTATCTTGTTTCAACCATCATTCATCATTATGTGTTCTGTGTCATCATTAGTTTAGAAATATAGTATGACATTCATTTTTATGAACTATATAAGATAAAAAGCCTACAGACATGGCTGGCGTGCAGGGGTGGACTGGCCTATCTGGCACTGTCTCAGTGGGTCGCTTATGGGCCATTCCCATCTGTACCGGGTCGGCCCGGGCCGGGTAGCCCCAGTCTGCCCCAGCCTGGCCCGGTTGATTCCACACATCCTTGTCTTAAGCCCTTGTGGGCTGATTCTACCCACCAATCAGAGGCTTGCTCTAATGGAAGGTGTGAATGTGCTGTCAGCAGTGGGTGTGTTGGCCCTGGTCGGCCTGAAGCAGACCCCCTCGAGAAGAGGGCTGAGAATGAGCCTTGGTTGGCCCGGAAAAATACCAGGCCACCCAGATATGTAAACAACCTACGCTACCCGACCGACCCGGTACAGATGGGAATGGCCCATTAGCCAAGTGGGCCACATGCCCTGCTTGGGCCGACACAACCTATGGCCCCAGTGGTGTCTGGTGAGGTCACGCCCATCAATACTGGTTTTCAACCATCCTCAGCACTTGTCGGCAGGTCAAGTAACCCCTTCCCGCTGGACAAACTTGAGAAACATACACTATTGTGTAAAATCATCCGTAAAGGTCCAAACCGGAAACCTTACATCCCTGTGACTCTAGAAGAGTCGCTAACCTGTGATGCTATCTTAGACACTGGGTCAGATGTTTCTATCATGTCTCTTTCACTTTGCGAATGCCTCTGCTTCACTGCAGCGGACCAGGGTTGTACCTTGGCACTCACACCCTGCGCACTGGACATCAGTCCTTATGCTTACGCCATCCAGCCCCACCAAACCTCTGACCGTACCGAAGCTAAAGTGTAAGCGCCATAATGATGGCAATAATGTTGTGAGCTCTACCGTACAAAACATCACTGTCATCTACTGCCTTCGGCTTCCTCTCCTAGATTGTTCTGGAATATTCACCGGGGTTCCAGTGTTCCTGTCCTCCTGGTCTTTAATACGGTGTTGGTTTCTTCCTGTGGATGTCGCTATGTTTGGATTACAATTCTCCGATTGGAATGTATGCTGGCGTCTCTGCCGTGTGTGGTGTTTGTTTGGATAACCCCCCTCTTCATCTGCAACTTTTGTTTCTCTTGGACATATCACCATCTTCTACATCCAAGTGGCCTCTCTAGTTTGGTCCAAAAACTTGAAGAGAAGTCTGCCCGAAACCCCAATTCCTTGGAAGGGAGGGACATGTGATGTGGGAAAGGCCTTAAGGTCAGAGGTCACCACACATTAAGTGCCAAGCCTGTTAGGGTCACTCACGTTTGGATTATTTTCTAGTCAACAGCTCACTGTTGGCTGACATTTCAGACACAGATACACCCCATAGTTGTCAGCGACCATGCTCCCGTTTCTTTAACTCTGGTAAATAAAAAGACAATCCCACCAAGCAAAAACTGGAGGTTTAATACATCACTGCTTAAAGACGAAGGTTTTATAGATTTTTTTAAAAAGGAGTGGGCTTTATATTTAGAACATAATGACCTGCCTGGAACATCAGCATCTGTTCTCTGGGAGGCAGGAAAGGCAGTGATGAGAGGTAAAATAATCTCTTTCTCATCACATAAGAAAAAAACGGAAAACAAACGTTTTCAGGAGTTAGAAGAAATCATCAAGTCTTTAGAGGCATCCACAGAAGAAGAGTTAATGAGAGAATTACGTAAAGCTAAATTAGAACTTCATGGAATTCGAATAGAATAGAATTAGAATAGAAAACTTTGAACATAGTAAAAAATTAGGAAAAACTTTAGCTAACCAGATAAAAATTAATAAAGATAAAACTACCATATCTGCTGTTAAAGACTCAAACGGGAATATAGTTTATGATCCTGAAAGAATAAACAACACTTTCAGAGACTTTTACCAAACTTTGTACTCACCACAGATAAACCCATCAGATAACGAGATCAATGAGTTCCTTGACAGGATAACACTTCCTAAATTATCAGACAGCCAAGTTACAGTCCTGGACTCGCCACTAACCTCAGCTGAGCTTCAGGAAGCCCTTCAATTGATGCCCAGTAGGAAGGCTCCAGGTCCAGACAGGTTCCCAGCAGAGTTCTACAAAGAGTTCTGTATCATTCTGGCTCCAACATTCTTTAGAATGGTGAGGGAAATCGAAGAGAGTGGAAGGCTATGACCAAACATGAATTCAGCCAATATTAGTAGTAGTTTGTTGTCTTTCTCCACTTATCCGGGTCGCGGGAGCAGCATCCCAACTAGGGAGCTCCAGACCGTCCTCTCCCCGGCCACCTCCACCAGCTCCTCCGGCAGGACCCCAAGGCGTTCCCGGACCAGATTGGAGATGTAACCTCTCCAACGTGTCCTGGGTCGACCCGGGGGCCTCCTTCCGGTAGGACATGCCCGAAACACCTCCCCAGGGAGGCGTCCAGGAGGCATCCTGACCAGATGCCCAAATCACCTCAACTGACTCCTTTCGATCCGGAGGAGCAGCGGTTCTACTCCGAGTCCCTCCCGAATGTCCGAGCTCCTCACCCTATCTCTAAGGCTGAGCCCGGCCACCCTACGGAGGAAACTCATTTCGGCCGCTTGTATCCGCGATCTCGTTCTTTCGGTCATTACCCAAAGCTCATGACCATAGGTGAGGACTGGGACGTAGATCGACCGGTAAATCGAGAGCCCGGCTTTCTGGCTCAGCTCCCTCTTCACCACGACAGATCGGCTCAGCGTCCGCATCACTGCAGACGCCAAACCAATCCGCCTGTCGATCTCCCGATCCCTCCTACCCTCACTCGTGAACAAGACCCCGAGATACTTAAACTCCTCCACTTGAGGTAGGACCTCTCTCCCGATCCGGAGTTGGCAAGCCACCCTTTACTGGTTGAGAACCATGGTCTCAGATTTGGAGGTGCTGATCCTCATCCCAGCCGCTTCACACTCGGCCGCGAACCTACCCAGCAAGAGCTGAAGGTCAGAGCTGGGTGAAGCTAGGAGGACCACATCATCCGCAAAAAGCAGACGAAATTCTCCTGCCACCAAACTCGACACACTCCACACCACGGCTGCGCCTAGAAATCCTGTCCATAAAGGTTATGAACAGAACCGGTGACAAAGGGCAGCCCTGGTGGAGTCCAACCCTCACCGGGAACAGGTCCGACTTACTACCGGCTATGCGGACCAAACTCACGCTCCTCTGGTAAAGGGACTGAATGGCCCTTAACAAAAGGCCACCCACCCCATACTCCTGGAGCGTCCCCCACAGGGTGCCCCTGGGGACACGGTCATAAGCCTTCTCCAGATCCACAAAACACATGTGGATTGGTTGGGCAAACTCCCATGCCCCCTCCATCACCCTTGCAAGGGTATAGAGCTGGTCCACAGTTCCACGGCCAGGACGAAAACCACATTGCTCCTCCTCTATCTGAGATTCAACTATCGATCGGACCCTCCTCTCCAGTACCTTGGAGTAGACCTTTCCAGGGAGGCTGAGGAATGTGATCTCCCTATAGTTGGAACACACCCTCCGGTCACCCTTCTTAAAGATGGGGACCACCACCCCGGTCTGCCACTCCACAGGAACTGCCCCTGATGACCACGCAATAATGCAGAGACGTGTCAACCATGACAGCCCTACCACATCCATAGCCTTGAGATACCAGGACGAATCTCATCCACCCCCAGGGCTCAGTCGCTGTGTAGTTGTTTGAATACCTCAGCAACTTCTGCCCCACAGATTGGACAGTCCATCCCCAGGTCTCCCGGCTCTGGCTCCTCCTCGGAATGCACATAGGTAGGATATTGGTCTCAATATTAGTCTCTTGTTAAAACCAGGCAAAGACCCTGCATTTCCTACCAGCTATCGCCCAATTTCTCTTATTAATGTTGATTTCAAAATAATTTGTAAAGCCCTGGCAAAAAGATTAGAGAAGGTAACCCCCTTCATTATACACCCTGACCAAACTGGTTTCATTAAGGGTAGACAATCATCCACTAACTTACATAATTTAATATATTTCTCTTACAGTAGAAACATAGAAACTAGTACATTATCTCTAGATGCAGAACAGGCTTTGATAGAGTTAACTGGAAGTTCTTATTTGCAATTTTACATAAATTTAATTTTGGGAACTTCTTCATAAACTGGCTACAAACATTATACAGTTCGCCAACAGCACGTGTCAGGACGAACGACCAAATATCAGCTAGCTTCTGTCTTCAGAGGGGACCAGGCATGGATGCCCACTCTCCCCCTCACTTTTTGCTATCTTTATTGAGCAATTAGGCAAACAACATGTATTAAAGGCATTAAATGTCAGAAAATAGAACATAAGATCAGTCTTCATGCAGATGATGTTACTCTTTCTACAGCATTCACAATCCTCTCTCTCCCATTCAATAGAACTGATAAAATATTTTTCAAGAGTTTCAGATTACTCTATAAACTGTTTAAAATCCACAGTTCTACCAATTAATTTATCTTTTGTCAATTTGCATAATACACAATTAGAGTCAGGGAATATCACATACCTGGGAATTAATGTCTCTCCCAAGATGGCAGATCTAACCAAACTAAACTACATCCCACTTTTAAAGAAAGTGGAAGATGATCTTGCAAGATGGAAACCCTTACCAATATCACTCATGGGGAGAGTTGCCCCCAGGGCAATCCTCTGTGCCTCTCGAGAGGGGGCTGGGGCTTTTCTGGTTACAGTCTCCCTGGGGTCCCTGCGCTCTATGGCAGCTCCTGGATCTCTGGGACTTGGAGCTCCCTCCATCATAGATCAGAATTTGGACCGATCAGAAGAGATCGGTTCAGCTTTTCTTGAAACAAAATAATCATAGAACTTCATACATTTGAAAGTCTAAGTTTTCATGAGTGAGGGGTCCAGGACCTTCTGTTAAATAGGAATACCCCCCCCCCAACCCCCCCACGGATTTGTGGAACAAACACGAGCAAATTGGACTGTTTTTCATCATCCTTGTTCCAACACATCTGAGTTACCTGTTTGGCAGGCCATCAAGCACTGCAGAAGACTGATATTCACCTGCCAATGAAAGACAGATGATTTTTTAATCCACACAAAGTGGAGCCCAACTTCAAAAGGAAACATCTTCCGCACAGATCGGTCAAAAATAAAGCCCTCATCTGTGCCCCAGACAAGCTGGTTCCCAAAGTCAGAGACTCTCTTGGTCAGCCTGCTTCTCACACCAAACCTTCTGTGAGGAATCTTGGCATGACCTTTGACCCAGCTCTCACCCTGGATTCTCATGTCAGTTCTCTTGTTGGCTCTTCCTTCTTCCATCTCAGGAACGTTGCTAAGCTGAGTCCCATTCTGTCCCGCTCTGAACTTGAGACAGTTCTCCACACCTTCATCTCCTCACGCTTAGACTACTGTAACTCACTTTTCACGTGTCTGAGCAGAACCTCCCTGAACCGTCTACAGGTGGTTCAGAACGCCTGTGCTCGGCTTCTGACCAAGTCCTCCAAACACACCCACATCACCCCGCTTCTCCTCCAGCTTCACTGGCTGCCAGTCAACTTCAGGGTTCATTTCAAGATCCTGGTTCTGGTCTATAGGGCCTTACATGGACAAGCACCATCTTACATTGGTGATCTTCTAAGTCCCTACACCCCCAGCAGGTCCCTGAGGTCCAGTGATCAAAGCCTACTGGTTGTGCAGCACCAGGCTAAAGGTCAAAGGTGACAGATCATCTGCTGCTGTGGCCCCCAGACTCTGGACCTCTCTCCCCCTGAGCCTGAGATCAGTGGACTCAGTGGTCTCCTTCAAAAAGCAGCTGAAGACTCACTTGTTCAAGCTGGCTTTTGTATGACCTTCTTCACCTCTCTCTCTTTATTCTGCTCTCCCCACCTATTCCACCTTCCTCAGGATACACTGGTTTCCCTCTTTCCTGTTCACTCTCTCTCTTTCTTAACATTTTAATCACGATTGTCTATTTTTTGCTCATTTTAAATATATCTTGAATCATTTTCTAAATTCTTCTTTATATTTTTTTGATTTGTGAAGCGCCTCGTGATTTTTGTCTTGAGAGGCCCTATAGAAAAGATCTGTTCTTCTTCTTCTTCTTCTTCTTCACAGATGTCTACAGATTATTTAGATGTTTTTAACTTACAAATTGCTCAGGAGAAGAAAGACCAACACCATACCTGGTAATGTTGAGCAGCAGGTTAGCCACAATGTTGTTCATGGCATCAAAAGGCTTCTGTGCCCCGCTGAGCCTGCTTCCTCCAGATGTGACACAGTTGTTTCTTTTGACCCCTGGCCCCAGCTTTGTACCATAAGACATGGCATCTATCTTGTTCAGTATGTCCAGCAAAGACTGGAGTTGAGGAAAAAAGGGTCAGCCGACAAAAATCAAGCCACTTGTCCACATGGGCACAGTAAAACAAAGCATTCTCTAGACCTGGTTTTCCACAGGTAGGACACAGTCTGCATGCTCAGTCAGCTCCTGCATTGCCAGGACCGTGTTATAAGGAGAAGTGATGACATCATCCTCAGCTGATGGATACACCGCAGTGACAATACGGCAGACGTCAGGGAACTCCTCCTCTAGCAGGCTGAGGACTCTGGTACCCAGACCTGATCCCGTACCTAAAATACAGTCGTCAGGTTAGCGACGCTTAAATGCACCAGCACAGAACGCTTGGGTGGGAATCGGAGGGGGTGGGGGGGTTCTCCATTTTGTAAAAAAATGTTATGAAAAACAACACATGAGACCTTGTTCAAATAAAAACAAAACACGGACAGGTAGAATGTTGTCATTAAACAAACTTCTGAAAAACTACAAAAGCCTGATTAGTGAATATTTGCCCAAAGTCTGTGCCACAGACAGTCTGTCACTTCCTGTTTTCAGTGTAGCGCTCCGTGTAGCTGTTCGGTGTTTGTGGCTCGCTAAATTTGATCCGATTTCGTTGTTCTAGGATATCTCTGAGTTATTGTGGCACATAAGCACGCTAAAACACACATTTCTGTTGTTCCACCTAGCTTTTAGGGAACCATTTGAGTTTGCACGCAGTTTATCTGGTGTTGAACGGGCTGCTCGTCCAGTTAGCTTAGCCTCAGCACGGCTATGGCTACTTCTGTCTCTGCTTCTCCGTCTCGTATATCTTGCTCTCTGTGTCAGATGTTTAGTTACTCCTCTGCCTCCTTTAGTGATAATGGTACGTGTAATAAATGCAGCATTTTTGTAGCTTTGGAGGCGAGGGTGTCAGAATTGGAGGCCTGGATCCGCGCTGTTGAAACGCCCGTAGCTACTTAGCTAGCGCGGGGCTAACTAGATCAGAACCACCCCGTCCTCCAGTAGAACCCGAGCAGCCGGGACCTCAGGCTGGCTGGGTGACAGTACGTAGGAAGCATGAACCCAGCCCGTGGGCCACCACCAACCCGCTTAGCAACGCATCCACCAGATCTGCCAACCTCGTCAAATTTTTTTGAGTACCACATGCGCCGCTTCTTTTTTTTTTTTTTGCAGACTTTTGCAACTCCGTTGCTTTCCACATTGTAATGTAAACATTCACTATTTTATTTTATTCATATATTGTTGTTTGTTTTATACAAAGCTGAATTGGTTCCCTTTCTAGTTTCTAATGTGGAAAGGTTCATTCCAGCTAATTTTTCCATTTCCTGCATCTTTAATCTGATCTGATTATACATTTTTTTATTTCATATAAACTCCTGAAATAAACTTAGCCCACTGTCTATAATCCTGTAGTACTGAATAACCATGTTGCTAACACGATAGTCCAAACTCACATTACATCATAGAAGAAACACTTTCACTAAAGGTTTCACCAGCTGTCTGTTATGGATTTTACTGTTAATGTAGAATAATCTGGTGCGCCCTCTCGGTCCGCCTACTAATGTTTCATTTTTCAAAATTGATATGTGGGTGGAGAAGGACTCTCAGGCAGGCTTGATGAGCCCTTTAAGGTCTGAAGAGTCTAGGTGGTGTAGATTTTGAACTAAGCCAGTTGTAGCCTAGAAATGTGGTGAAATCTACTTTCTTTGAACTTTCACAAATGAAAAAAAGGCTTTAAAAATGAGAAAATGACCCTTTAGGCACCACAGTTTTTTCAGTAAAATACAATTTTTTATTTCACTATTTAAAGAGCTTGTAGCTTAAATCTGGTTAGAGATAGAGGAATATTGTAAATTAGAAAAATCTTCAGTATGAGTCAAATTTTGTGACAGGAACAAATTCACTCACATAATTTGTGTTTTAAAAAGAACGACAAAATCAATATGTTCTGAATTTGACCGATCCCTGTCTCCACAGTATCCAACTGGCTCATCAAAATGCCTGATCCACTTGGAATACTGCTCCACTTCTCCCAAACTAACCCAGCCATCATCATTATTGTCACTGAGGCTGTGTTGGGCCACCACCCTGCTAGCAGAGATTTTTTTCCCACGGTTCCTCCCCCTCCTGCTGCAATTCCCGCGGTTTACAGCCCCCCCACCACCACCACCACCACCACCACCACACACACACACACCACCACCACCACCACCACCAACCCCCCGGCGGATTACACCCCCGGGGCTGAATCGATCACCAGCAGTTTTCACCGAGCGAAGGATCAGACCCGGTACAAGCTGTTCGAGCCCCCCCGCCACGTCTCTTTCCCTGACCACGGACATGGTGATGCGGAACATCGGACAAGATAAGGGCTGGATGGGCTGCTTGTGTAACCGTGTCGTCGCTGACAGACTCCCTGTTGCTGCGCGCTGAAGCCACACTTTCCGTCTTGCTAGAAGACGGCAGATCATCCTCGGACAGGAAATATTCTTCCTCCGAATCCAAATCTGCTAGTACTAGACGAAGAGCTTCGTCAGCACTGAACATTCCTCTTGGCATTGTGTTTTTTTTTTCATCTACCACTCGCTCGCGCTCACTCGATCTGACTGCTCTGACAACCCCCGCGACTCTGCGACTGGAGGGCAGGGTTCAAGCGCTTAATACTCCAAAAGTTTGAAAAGTAACACACCCACAAATGCTGCTTGGACTGAAGTTACAGGTGTCTGCCACCCCGCTGTGTAACATATTAACTGCATGAGGGCTCATTTCTGCTGCTGTGGCTTATTAAATCCAACATTGCTGCATGCCGCAATTCTGCGACTTTGGCGCTTAAAGGGTTAAGGATTGTGTTATTAGTGCAGAATAACCAAGTCCACCTTTAAAGGGTCTAAGTTTTGTAAATGTGTGATGAGAGCAGACTAAAGATGTTCAGGGAGTGGAGATATTTGTTGGAAGAGCCCTCTCTGACTTAGAAAATGATATGGGAAACCAACTT